GGTGGTTGTCTTCATTGCCTCAATCGGAGGAGTAACCGGTGTTGCCTTGGGGGGGGTCGAGATCCGACCATCCCCAACACCGGCAACTCCTTTCCCTTTATCGGCCACGGCCGATTTCGCATCAACCCCGGCCGATTTCGCATCAACCCCTACCCCTGCCGTTCCCTTGCCTTTGGCGCCCGACGCACCTCCGGCCTTCTTCCTAGCCATTGCGACCGTCAATCCCTAACCCCTTGTAATGCCCTACCCGAACCCTGGCCGCCAAAGCCCACCTAGCAACCCTAGCCCCCAACACTGGCCGAGAAACCCTAGCCCCCTGCACCGGCCGAGAAACCCTAGACGGACGAGGAACCCTAGCCGTCCACACCAGCCCCGAAAACCCTAGCCGCCCACCACCGGCCACCTAACCCTAGCCCCACGGCCCACCAAGCAGCCCAACACCGGCCAAGAAACCCTAGCCGTCAAGGGTTTGGGAAAAACCCTAGCCGTCAAATCCGCCGGATCCCTAACGCCGGCCGTCGTCCTCCGGTCGGAAACAATGGCCGTCAACAAACGTACGGCCAAATTCCTACGAAGAAACCTCCAAAAATCACGCCGCTACCACAAGGACGTGGTCAATCCTCACCAAATCGTGGATCCGGTCGATCCACAAACAACAAACGATCAAACACACAAGCACCGTCGAAATCACGTACAAGACCTTGAAAAACGAAAGAGAAGACAAAAAACGAAACTCCCTTACCCGAAGACAGAACCCCACAAAATCACCCTCAATATGAGCGCGCCGATGAGACGAATCGATTGGTGTTACCACCAAGGAAATCCGATCACCGGAGAAGGAGGAGCGGCCGCCGGAAAGCACCTACTCTGTTGATTTCTCTCTGGCACGTTAGGATAAGCTGGCGAGCTCGTTAACCGCGAACTTCTAAAGGGAACTTATCTTTGATGGCGTATTGGGTTGGTGGGCCAACAAATTTCTTTCGGCCCATACATTTATCTTTATACTGTTTAATAAGCTCATTATGGAGAGTTTGGCTCAAACTTGCCAAACTGATCTCATCATCCATCCTGAACAACTTCCAGTAAATATCGGGCCAGGCATAATTAGGTTCGTGTATATTGTTGTCGTCCTAATTAAGAATACGAATATTATTGAAATCCGATAAACTATTGACAACAATTAAACCATTATCACAAATAAGATCACAAGCATATATTTCACAAGTCCTAAAAGTAATATTATATATAATGTTTTATGAATCCGATTCACATTTTGCATTAAATATAGTAGTAACCTTTTGCATTTAAAACGTTTCCCCTGCTAACAATTTTATGTACAAATAGCAGCAGCACTGGTCAAAAGAAGTGTATCCAATATCCATCCATCATCAACATATTCAAATTCATGGCATTTTACGTGAAACCCCGGTCGAATAATATCATCAACATTATTCGTTTTATTTTGTTTGATTTGTTCGATTAGTGAATCAGAAGCAATCACTAACAATGTTGGCATAACTGCTGATTTGATACATGGAGATTCTCCTCTTTCCCCTTTCTACGACCCATCATTGACCAGATTCCAGCGTGTCACAAACGCACTCCGTCACTCTCTCGCTCGTCGTCGTTCAATTAGGTCAAATAATTCAAAATCGTCACCACTGGAGGTGTCTCTCACCCCCGTGTCGGGGTTTTACCTAATGAAAATGCAAGTCGGTGATCCACCGATAGAACTAATGGGAATTGCTGACACGGGCAGCGATTTGATGTGGACGCAGTGCGCCCCTTGCTCCCGTTGCTACAAGCAAAAAACCCCGATTTTCGACCCCAAAAAGAGCAAAACATACGACACCGTTTCGTGCAAATCCCAAGAATGCCAATCGTTGAGATTTGAGCATCCATCTTGCGAAAATACAACAAATGGCTGTCGCTACGAATTATATTATGCCAGCAGGGCATACACCTCCGGAGACCTAGCGACGGAAACATTCATTTTCGATCAAAATTTGGCATTTTCAAAGATCGTGTTTGGCTGTGGTCATAAAAACTATGGGGGAAGTCTCGGAACGTCCTCTGGGATAGTCGGCCTCGGTGGGGGCCCGGTGTCGATAATCAGACAGTTAAAGAAATATTATTCAATAGACGCCAAAATATCGTATTGTTTGCCGCATCCTAATTCCAATGTGTCGAGCAAGATAAATTTCGGGAGCAACGCAGTTGTTTCGGGGCCTAAAGTAATGTCAACACCCTTAGTGAAGAAAGAGCATGATACATTCCACTACGTTACTTTCGAGGGAATTAGTGTTGGGAATAACAAGTTGGCGTTCAAATCGAAAGAATCGAGAAAAACGGTGGAGGAAAGGAATATGTTTATCGATACAGGCAGCACGTATACGTATTTGACGACTGATTTCTATTTCAAATTCCTATTTGCATTGGATAAAGCTCTAAATGGTACTCCTACGGCTAATCCAGAAGGAGGCTTCCAAGTATGCTACGAAAAACCCGCAAACGGAAAATTCAATTCTCCGACAATAACGGCACATTTTAGAGGGGGCGTTGACTTGGTCTTGTCGCCGGACGCCACCTTCGTGGAGGTGAATAAAGGGGTGGTGTGTTTGGCTATGTTGCCTGATTTTTCAAATGACTTAGTTTTAGGAAATTCACAGATGATTAATTATCTGATTGGAATTGATCTTGAGAATCAAAAGGTTGATTTCTTGCCAACTAATGATTGCACCAACCCCAATTAGTTACTCAAAGTAATGTCATATTTTACAAGATGTGTAATCTTGAATATTTTCATCATCTATTTTATGTTATAATCTAATCATCAAATTATAGTTCTATATAGATTCCTATTTCTATTATTTTTTATAAAAAATAGTTAAGCTTTTTGATCTACGATTCGTTACGATTTACGATTTGTAAATTTAACAAAAAAATTATCGATTCAATTTTACTAATTAACAACATTGGTTGTATAATTAGTGAAACATTAAATGGTGTAAATGTAGAATTTGATGAGTTTATTGATAAAACATAAACATAATATACCAATATAAGTTCTATTATACTCAAAAAAATTAAACATGTAATAGAAATTTGTACACTAAATTTCCTTATTACCGAATGAATCATATCAAATATGTTGGATCGGATCATAAGACTCTGATTCCTACACTCTCTGCATCGACACAGATTGTAAAATAAATCAGTGATTATAGTTCTCGATCAATGCATACTATATAGTATAGACATTTACACAATATTATGACAAACAAACTCGATTCCACTCATTTCGTTTTGAAAGCTTACGACGGTAATTGCAATTTCGTATGCGTTTGTTTTTTTTTCGTCGTTTGTGAATTAAGTATCTGTTAGAGGATTATTCAAAATTTACTCTAATTTAGTTATTTTTAGAGCAAAGGTATGGGTGAAATCTAGCATCTAACATGAATTGGTCAGGGGTTTAAATGTCATCATGAATGGTGATATATTTTCAAAATTAGCAGTTCTGCCCCTTAACTGAAATACTCTGCACTTTTTGACCATTTTGCAATATCAAAAGTTTCAACAAGTTAATTCTCTAATAATAATTTTACGAGTAAATCAAACCATAAAAGATCGTACCTCGAGGCATATTCTGCACTACCAAATTGTCGACCATGAGAGATTCCTTCAAAGGAAGGAAGCGGTAAGGAACAATCTTACCGACAGTTCTAACTCAAGAAACTGGAACTCCTTCTATTTTGGATGGTAGCAAACTACAGCGGCTTAGAAGGCCCATCGATGGGTTCGCCCGTACGAACCGCTGAATCAATAACAAACTCCTTTGTCCACGAATCTCGATTTCCGCATTCCTTCATGACCCATATATCGAAATGAAAACACAGAGATTACCTCCAAGAATCCCGATATTCATGCTCTGCCTATTCTTCAATGTCTAGTCCACACCATAGCTACGCGTGAGCAAAATCTCGCCGAATTTCTCCATCTCGAAATCGAAGAAAACTATGAAATAAAAATATGTCCGGTTATCTGCAGAGCCAGCAAAAAGTTCCATTCAAGAAAACAGAGCACGTATCCCAAAAAATGTACCTCGAAGGTGGTGTATTCGATATCTCTCCAAGAAGACAATCTAACGACATGCACTAAGTACCTTACAAAGATGCTCTTTGTAGGGAGCGTCGAAATAATTTCAAAAATTGCATCTTTTCCAAACATTGCATTCAAACAAAAAACAATACAAAAAGGGGCAACTAAATTTCAAAGGATTATGGACAAAATTCTTCAATTTGTCGGGGTTGAGTTTGAAGCAATCTGAAAGATCGATGGCATGAAGCAATCTGAAAGATCAAATTTCCTTATTACCGAATGAATTAATATCAAATTAGTTGGATCGGATCATAAGACTCTGATTCCTACACTCTCTGCATCGACATAGATTGTAAAATAAATCAGTGATTATAGTTCTCGATCAATGCATACTACATAGTATAGACATTTACATAATATATATTATGATAAACAAACTCGATTCCACTCATTTCGTTTTGAAAGCTTACGACTGTAATTGCAATTTCGTATGATTTTTTTTCTTCTTTTTTTTTGGTGAATTAAGTATCTGTTAGAGGATTATTCAAAATTTACTCTAATTTTTAGTTATTTTTAGAGCGGGTGAAATCTAGCATCTGACATGAATTGGTTAGGTGTTTAACTGAAATACTCTGCACTTTTTGACCATTTTGCAATATCAAAAGTTTCAACAAGTTAATTCTCTAATAATAATTTTAACATTATTTGGTATTAATATTTTCACACGTTAGAGTTGATAATCAACCAGAAAAGCATTCAGGTAACAAGACAAATTATAGGCAGGATAAAATAATTTGGACTCGATAATTAACTAGAAAAGCATTCAGGTAACAAGACAAATATGTTAATTGCCAATAATTATTTATTTAAAGAGATGATTAATTATTGGGCAACAAGAGTGATTAATAATCCAGTAAGTGAACAGAAACAGGGATTCTGACATTGTGAGTCACAGAAGACCAAGTGATGGATCCTTGAACATATCCTCCTGTTTCATTTTTCTTATTTTGTCTCCTAAATTCAACCTTATAAGTGCTGTTCTGGTTGAGTTGAGTAAACGTAAGCACCGTGGGCTCCACCGAGATGTCCACACCCGGAGCAGATTCAATTTCAACCTCATATGTCGAGTTGGCATTTCCGACGTTTGTGACTGTCCTGGAATACGTTACGCTTCCTCCTTTTCCGAGTTGGACGGCAAACGACGGGTAGTTCAGTTGTGCTTCGGGTATTCCTAAGCCACTGCAGTTGACTTTCTCTCGAACTATGACTTCCACTTCCTTCTCCGAATACAACGAACAGAGGTAAGATATGTAATCCTGACTCGTGATGTCATACACGAGTCCTGGATCAAGTGCCAGCTTCGGGTTTACATGCCCCGCCCCTGTCGCAAACACGTCCGCGGGGCGATTGGTGCTTCCATCAAGTATTGGTTTCTGATCACGGTTTAGTTGACTCGCACTGGTCATCATGCCTGACTTGATCATGGCAGGAGACCAGCTGGGATGGGCTTTCTTGATGAGGGCCGCAACGGCGCTCAAATGTGGGCACGCCATTGATGTACCGCTATCGAGGTAGAAGGCGGCGGTGGCTGGCTTTGCATTCTCAACCGATTTGTACCAGGCCGCGAGAATATTGACGCCAGGACCAAGAATGTCCGGCTTCAATATTCCCGGGCTGACAGAGTTAGGTCCTCTCGAAGAGAATGAGGCGACCGCAGGGGCGGTTTCATCTCTGAATGCAGTTCCTTGTAGTAAAATTTTTGCTACAGGGGTGCTGGTTGAGCTGACGTATTTTTTTATTTGTTCTCCGTACAAGTAGCTAACGGAGAGAGACGGAAGAGGGAGAGCATATGACATAGTTGTGTAGCCACCCTCCTCGCTGTTCATCAAAATCACTGCTGCAGCACCGGCATGTTTCACCGCCTGAGCTATTCCAACGGGACTGGACTCCATCACGCAGAGGACAACCTTCCCCTTCACATCCAAGTTGTCCAAACTTCCGGATTCGCAAGACTCCGCCGCCTGGCCTGGGTAATGAACCAACGGCAACATAGTCAAAGAATAGTTCGTCGGGTCCCCCACGGCCTGCCCTTTGAAAATATCCCCGTTGCCAAGAATCGTTGCGGCTGCGATTGTCCGGTCAGTGGTGCTGGCGCCGACCGTTAAGGTCCATGGTGACGTATTTTCTGTGCTAGAGGTAAAAGGGCCTTCATTTCCTGCTGAAGTGCTCACAAATATTCCTTTTTTTGTGGCGGCAAACGCCCCTATGGCGGCGTAGTCCTCGTAAAGATGGAGGACCACGGTGCTGACCGAGAGCGAGATAACGTCCACGCCGTCTTCAATTGCGGCATCGAGTCCGGCCAGAATGTTGCTCTGGTCGCAGGACTCGATGTCGCATACTTTGTAGATCGCAAGGTGGGCATGAGGGGCCAGGCCGGACGCGGTGCCGTTGGCTTGGCCAAACAGGTTGGCGCCCGACACGAAATTGCCGGCGGCTGTGCTGGCTGTGTGAGTGCCGTGTCCTGTGTGGTCCAACGGCGGCAGCCCGTAGTCGATGAAGTTCCGGGCGCCGATAATCTTGTTGTTGCAGATTGGGAGATCGCATCGGCCCTTCCACTTGGCCGGCGGGGGAGGGACATCTTCATCAGAAAAGGAAGGATGGTTCGGAGTGATTCCGGAGTCCAAAACTCCGATAATCACGCCACTTCCAAAATCCGTTTGGCCGGGCCACGAGCCTCGTTCGGGATTGAGACCGAGGAAAGACGGGGAATTGGTGGTGTGTGGGGTGCAACGTCTGTCGGGGCTGGCATGGAGAAAGCCGGAGATCTTCTCCATGTCCGCCAACTCATCGGGAGTTAATTTCGCAGCGAAACCGTTGATGACATGGCGGTAGGTGTGTACTATCCGATCATCACCTCCTTTAGGGAGGAAAGAGAGGTGCCAATCGGAGACATTAGTACCTCGTGGCGGAGTGGTGACGTGGACAATGTAAGTCTTGGAAACATTTTGAATTGGAGTTGTCGGAAGAAGACTGAGGGTTGTCTGAATAGTAAGAGTGGCTATTGCCAAGAACCAGACCACATGAGTTAAAGCTGTGTACATGTTGTTTGTGGTTTGTTTAATTTGTTGAAGGTAGAATTGAATTGAATGAGGGACTATACCAAAATCAAAGAAGGGATATTCAGATTATTAATGCATGGGAATACAATGTGTAATTGATTGCTTGTGTTGAATTTATAGCTGCAAATTCTTATGATTATTATTAATCCAAATTAATGAATCACAATTGTTTTCTTTAATTAATTACCAGCTAAGCTAATTGATAATGTCACTTGCGTGACAAAGTAAAACTTTGTTTTGTAATTAAGTTGGATTGAGACACATTTTCCTAAAAATAATAACCATTTAGCTTTCAATTAATTTACTACTATTTTCTAGCTACGTGCATGGTTGTAACTTGTAACTTGTAACCCTAGTGATAATAATTCTAACCTTTTTTTTGTTTTAATTGATAAAAACAGTAGAATATCAAAATGTCAGGAAATAATTTATAATTGGTTTTTTGTCTGATTTTAGGAGAGAAAAAGAAAATTCACATGTTCTGATTAGTGGTCTATTAATTTATTTTGCCCCATTAATTACCAGCTAATCAAATAAGGCCAGTTGCGTGACCAAGTAAAAATTCTGTTTTACATTTAAGGTGAATGGGATCCATTAAAACACGTTTTCCTAATTTTCAAAAATTAAATGAAATAAAGCAAAAAAACAAAAGACACGTTTTCCTAAAATCCGAAGAGAGAATGAAAAATATGTGGTTCTAGCCCTCATATCTAGGTGTGCAAGTTGGAACGGAAATTCCGATTTCCGCCGGTTCCGATCCGAAAAGTTCCGATTTTGGAACAACTTTTTTCATTCCGATTTCCGAAATTCCGATTTCCGATTTTTTCCGATTTTTTTGGATTGGAATTGGAATCATATAAAAGAAAATTGGAATTTCCGATTTCCGATCCGATTATTTCCGAAATTAATTCCGAAAAAATTCCGATTTTTTTCCAAAAAACAAACCGATTTTTTTCCAAAAAATACATCTTTGAGTAATATATATATATATATATATATATATATATATATATATATATATATATATATATATATATATATTATATTATGCTTATTTTACATTATTTAGTTGTATTTATTCTTTATGGGCCATGTCACCTAAAAAAGCCCTAGTTTATTTTATGTAAAACCCTAGTTGTACGTTTAATATTTCTTGTGCAAAGCCGAAGAGTTTATTTAATTTTTGTTAGAAGTTTTATTGGATATTATGATGTCGTTTATTTTTTGAATTGAAATTTAGTAGTTATTTTTATCGACGTGAATATTTTTATTTTTAGCAAATTATGAAATTTTCAGCGAAGTTTCGAAATTTTAATACTTATGTCATTTCCGAAAAATTTCCGAAATTCCGAAATTTCCGGGCCTTTTGGAATTGGAATGAATTTTTAGATTCCGAAAATTTTGGAATTGGAATTGGAATTAATTTTGTACTTCCGAATTTTTTTGGAAATATTCCGAAAAGGCTAATTCCGATCCGATCCTTCCGACTTTCAGCCCTACTCATATCATATGTGTTAATAATTCTACATTTTTTTGGGATGTAATATTGATAATAATAATAATAATAATAATAATAATAATAATAATAATAATAATAATAATAATAATAATAATAATAATAATAATAATAATAATAATAATAATAATAATAATAATAATAATAATAATAATAATAATAATAATAATAATAATAATAATAATAATAATAATAATAATAATAATAATAATAATAATAATAATAATAATAATAATAATAATAATAATAATAATAATAATAATAATAATAATAATAATAATAATAATAATAATAATAATAAACACAGTAAAATAATTTGAAATCTACATTATTGTTTTTTTTTAAACTGAAATATACATAATTGAAATATAATTTGAAATATACATTTAAGAGCATCAATATAATATAATTTTCTTGGATGGTGATAAATGCAGGACGAGTTTAAGTAATTGCTGGACATTTTATTTTAAAAATTTAAAAGCTAATACATTCCATCTTATTTTGTCAAATCATTTTTTAAGAAGTTTTCAACAACATTATTTTGGGAGAATAAGAATACCACTCGAAGAGTTTTAGGAAACGTAGAAACTTTATTTAAAAATTCAAAACATAATGTATATCATCCTATTTAGTTTAATATATCGGGTTTCGAGGATGAAGATACGGTGAAAGTCAGATAAAAATTTAGTTATACTCAACATTGAATATGATACACAAATAAATTAGAGTTTCTTCAGATGTGTTTGAAGCTGGGAATTTTAGAGAATAAATGTAGTCAGGTAGACGGTTAATGATAAGTAAATGACGAGAATTAATTTTTATATTAAAATGTCTATAGCTACTAAAATGTGCTAAAAATAGAGATAAAAGTTAAAATATAAAAAAAATCGTCTTACATTTACTAATAACCGTTATATTTATCGTTTAATTGAATATATATTCAATAATTACTTTCTTAAGATGGAATTGAAAGGCAATTAAGAATTTTGTTGGCAAAAGAACTAAAAAAACTTATGTAACTTATTCAAATAATGTTTTTCTTGAATTTATTCAATTTATTTCACTAGCAAAAGTGTTAGTTTCTACAAAAGCAAAAGTTTTTTGTGGGTAATCCATTTTTAACACACAATTATTTGGCAGTAAGGAAAATGAAAAGAAATATAGAGCCCAAATCCTAAATATCTCGAAAAGCTAAACATATTAATTATTATTACAGTTTTGTTTTTAATTTAAAAATAAACAAGTAAAGAATATATGCACTAATTCTATGAATCTCAATAATTAACGTAAATCTGCTCAATTTAACTCTCAGAAGCAAATAATTACTTTTGTCATTTTGGGAATCAAGAATAAGACTCCCAATACCAAATAATTATTAATTTCCATTTTCATAATTAATAATTATTTCATTTTTAAATACAAACGTAGCGTAAGGTTGAAAATTTGAAATGGCCTAAAAGCCTATAAGCTTTTTCTCCATTAGGAATTATTTAATTAATTATTTTCCATCACTGGATAATTTCGATAAAATCACTCTTTTCCATTTGCGACTGTAATTATTTTCCAGCTGTAGGGTTTTTCTGCGAGATGGGTCTTTTCCCTTTTAAATTAATTAATTAATCGGTTTATGAAAGTGGAGTATTTATGTAAAACGAGCCATTTTCCTTTTACATTATTTATTTAGTAAAATACAATATATTTGGGACTTAGTGATCAAATAATTTAATCACAAAATAATTAACAATAGCGTTTCTAAGTCAGTTGGTAAATCTCATCTTGCAGACTTCAAAAGTCGCGGGTTCGAATCAACCCGACGTCAAATTTTCTTTTTCCTCAGCCCTTTAATTAATTTTATATTTTGTTGGGCTAAAAAGTCCAAATTAGGAATATGATTAGTAATTACATAATTTTCAGCCTATTAATTAATTTAATATTTTGTTGGCCAAATGGGCCCTTAAAAACAAATCTTCTCACTCATTTAACATTTCTTTCTAACTCTTTTAATATTTCTTCCCACCCTTTTAAATTTTTTTTCTTCCTATCATCCTGTTAACTATGTCGCAGAAACCAGGGCGGAACCAGGATTTTTCGGTTGGGGGGCCGAGAATTTGAGAGGATACCGGGGGTTCAAGGGCAACGAAACTTTTTAGCTACATTAATAAATAAAAAACAAATAAGTAAACATTTAAGATATTAATAAAATAAATTGTAATACAAGTATGTACGGAATATGATCATTAGAATTCCTTAGAATAAGAGATTTGTAATGTACGTGAATTAGTTGAATGAGTAAAAAATATGTTTAAGAAAAATAAAATTCTCGTAATAGATAGAAATTTGATAGATCGAAAACTCAAAAATTCAGAAGAATGTAATTTGACAAATTTGTGAGCGTAATTAGTAAATATTAGGAATTGAAGGGAATAAATTTGCAAATATAAATTTGGAATTAAGATAAAAAAAATTTAAAACGTATAAGTAATGATTTATTTGTTGAAGGGATAATTTGCAAATATATAAAAATCAAAATACACTTATATATATATATATATATATATATATATATATATATATATATATATATATATATAAAAGAAGGAAAATTCTTGGGGGGTCATTAGCCCCTGCCTGCCCCTATAATGTTCCGCCATGGCAGGAACGGATTGATAATTTTGCAGCTCGGAAGGCAAGAAAGATAATATTGTAATGTTTATTGAAGGTATTTTTGTTTCAAAGTATTTATGAATTGTGGATTAGATACATTTTATATTTCTTCAGTGTTATTATTTAGTTAGTGAAGGGGCCTCATTTTTTTGATTTTTTTTTCGTTCTTTCGTCTTAGGCCTCTCGGACCCTAGGATCGAATTACGAGCATGGCATTTGTAATTCTTATCTTTTCACCTTGAAAAATATCACTTATCCACAGTGGCTCTTCAAAACACTTGGAGAGAAGAACAAGCTGTGGTGGGGGAAAATGCACTCTTGATATTAGAGAACTAAATTTTATTGGATTAACTTTCATGTTCGATCAAAATTCGTCGTTTTCTAAGGTCGTGTTTGGGTGCGGGCACGAAAACATAGGGGAAATTTTTGGAATGTCGTCCGGTATAGTTGGACTCGGTGGTGGGCCTGTTTCGATAATCAGACAATTTAAAAAATATTATTCAATCGACGCCAAAATCTCGTATTGTTTGCCGCGCGCCACCTAATTCCAATTTGTCGAACACGATAAATTTTGGTAGTAACGCGGTGGTTACGGGGCCAAAAGTTATGTCGACTCCCTTAGTGAAGAAAGAGCAAGATACATTTCACTATATGTTACTTTAGAGTGTCTTACCGTTGGGAACAATAAATTGTAATTAATTTCCCGTGAATATTCGAAAATAGATGTGGAAGAAGGGATATCTTTATTGACTCCGGAAGTGCGTACATGTTTTTGTCAAATGATTTTTATTTCGATTTCGAATCCGCAATCGAGAAAGCTGTTAATCGAAGCCGTGTGGCAGATCCACTAGGAGAGTTCGGATTATGCTATTAAAAGCCCGATAACGGGAAATTCGATTCTCCGACCGTAACGGCACATTTTAGAGGGGGCGTTGACTTGGTTTTGGCACAAGAGGGCATCTTTGCTTGAGTTTCTTGCCGGATTATTCTGATGACTTTTCGGTTTAACGGGGTTAATTTGGTAATTTGGTAATTTGGTGAGGAGTCGAATGTTGGAATTCGTATAAAGTGCGTGTGTTGTAAGGACATATTATAACAACAATACATATATCTTTTCATGAACAATCAATATTAATATCTCTTTGATTTGTGGTTTATAATCAATATTTTTTTTCATTGTTTTAGTAAGGATATAATTACGGGAATTTTCTATAAGCCCCTAGATATTATTTTTCATACATTTAAGGACAATGCTATATATTGAATTACTTAAAAGTCCCTTGGACTCCAAAAGAAACTAGGTTTTGCACCAACAAACAGACCATTCATTTTTTTTTATTCTTTAAAAACTAATTTAACCAGTGCACATATATAATTGGCTGCGATTTTTTTTATTAAAAAAATAAAATAAAAGACAAGTGCGACTTCTTTTGTTAAAAAAATAAAATAAAATAAAAGACAAGAGTATAATCTCATTGAATTACAACTAACTTGGGATTTTGCAATCACTAGTAGTTGGCAAGAAATCAACCTTATTATTCTCAAGATCAATCCCAATCAAATAATTCAACTGCTGCAAATTCCCAAAAACCAAAAAATCCTTAGAATCACTAGGCAAGAAAGTCAAGCAAACAACCCCTTCATCCACCTCGACAAACGTACCCTCCGGCGACAAGACCAAGTCAACACCCCCTCCGAAATGCGCCGTTATTGCCGGAGTATTAAATTTCCCAATCTTCGGCTTTTCGTAGCATACTTTAAAATCCCCACGCTGATCCGCCTTTCGACTACCCTCAACTGCTTTCGTCAACGCGGATATAAATTCGGAATAAAAATCGTTCGACAAAAACGTGAACTTACTTCCGGTGTCGATGAATATATTCCCTTCTTTCACAATAGCTTTTTTCGAGTAATCCAACTTTTTGTTACCAATGCTGAAACCCTCCAAAGTCACGTAGTGGAACGTGTCGTACGATCTTTTCACTAAGGGAGTCGACTTCAAACCGGGCCCCGAAACGACCGCGTTCGATCCGAAATTTATCTTGCCGGCGGCATTGGAATCGCATGAAGGCAAACAGTAGGAGACTTTGGCGTCGATCGAATAGTATGTCTTCAATTGCCGGATAATCGAGACCGGCCCGCCGCCGAGGCCGACAATTCCGGAGAAGATTCCCGACTTCTCTCCGGAGTTGTCGTGCCCGCAGCCGAAGGCGACCTTGGGGAACGACACGTCCCGATCGAACGTGAACGTGTCGGTCCCCAGGTCGCCGTAGCTGTGGGCCCCGTCGCCGCCGCCGTAGTAGATCTCGTAGCGACAGTTGTTCGTCGAGTTGTCGCAGAACGGATTCTCGAACCGGAGGGTTGTGCACCGCTCCGACTTGCACGAAACGGCGCCGTACGTTGCGCTCTTCTTGGGATCGAAGATTGGGGGTTTCTGCTTGAAGCAGTCGTAGCAGGGGGCGCACTGCGTCCACGTCAGATCGCTGCCCGTGTCAGCAATTCCGTACACCTCAACCGGTGGGCCCCCCACCTTGATTTTCATCAGGTAGTATCCTGCAGTTGGGGTGACGTATGACTCAGGCGGTGACGTCATCGCAAACGATTTCGAATCGTTCGACCTAATTGAACGATGACGTAAGAGTGAGTGACTCAGTGAGTTTCTAACTCGCTGGAACTGAGTCAAGGACGGTTCGTAGAACGGGGAAAGGGGAGAATCGCCATTGATTAAATCAGCGGTTATTCCACCACCATCAATTTTAATCGCTTCTGATTCACTGCTCGAAGAAAAAAGTATTATTACGAGAAGAATAAATATATTCGACGAGGGTTTGATGTAGAACGCCATGAATTAATTCGACGACGACGATGAAGATGAAGAACAGCTTGTAATTAGACTGTAATTTATAGACGAATAATAATATTGAATTATTACATGTTTCTATTGTAGTAACGAGGAAAGAAATATATATATATATATATATTAGGAAAGGACAATTTGCATGCATGGAAATAAAGCTTTTGGGTATTAATACTATATAGATGGCATGAATATCACTGAAATTGTGGCAAATATATGGGGTGAGTAATCTTCGTAATCTAGTAATCTTCGTAATCAATTGTTGTTCAAAACAAAAAAAAAAAAAAAAAAAAAAAATCTTCGTAATCAATTAATTAATATGGAAAGTCCTATACTCGGTCAAGGTTACACTGACTCGTTCGATTACCTATATTGGATTAGATTAGATTGAATTATATGAGATTGGATTGACTCCCTACTGACTAATTAATTATTTAGTTAGTAGCATGTTTGATTTCCTAGATTGAATTTTCTATAAAATTTATTAAAATCAGTTATTATATATGAATTATCTATAAAACCCCTAAGTTTACAATAATAAAATATAATTTTAAGAATACAATTATATTTTTTCTTATTAGTAACCCCCTATTAAATTAATCTCAGGGGTACTATTAATTTAATGAACTAGTAGCATCTAATAGCGGGCTTTGATAGTAGCCGGTTCGAAAAAATGTGAATCTTGCCAACCGGACATGCTATTAGCCCCTACTATTTAGTCAGTAGAACCTTATAGCGGTAACCGAACGAGTCATCATGATTTACCGTTGATACACACGCACCAATGTGGGTATGTGTGTTTATGTGCTTATTAACAGTTAAGATCTGCTCATCGTATTTTTCACGGTGTAACATAGTATAAACCAGTGTTCTAAATATCGGTCGTGGCGGTCGATATATCGGCCGCCATATCGGTATCGGTTATAAACCTTTACGATTTTGTTGAGGCGGTTTGAAATATCGGTTTTTTACGGCGAGGCGGTTTGCGGCGGTTTTTTGGCGGGTCAAACCGATATATCGGTCAACAACTCGGTTTTTTTTTTTTTTTTTTTTTTATTTAAATTAAAATGAAAATATGTTTTGATTTTTTGTTTTTCTCCAATTTTTTCAACTTCCAAAACCAAACCAAGTACTACCCCGCAATTTATGCTTTGTTGTGTTTATATTAATTATTGATGCGAAAGACTTGCGTAGTATTTGTATTTCGTAAGAATCTTTATTATATTATGATCTTATTATTTTTAAATTTTTGTTATTTATTGAGTAATTATAATTATATAATAACATATGAATGATAGGATAGAATTATGTTTAAATATTCTTTTATATATATTTTGAGTATTTATAAATATTTTTTTAGAAATATATTACACTAAATTTAAAAACCGATATATTTTCGATTTATCTCCGATAAATCACCGCCGCGCCGATTTATCGTGTGGCGGTCCCAAACCGCCACGTGCCCGATAACCGCCTTTTAGAACCTTGGTATAAACCAACTCAAACTCATTTTGGGATTTTTTTTATTTTATAACTATTAATGTATTATTAAAAAAACATTTAGATTATAATAAAAAAATTATAAAATAACAATAAACTGTAATTATTTATATTTTTTAATATTTATATGTTCTTTTTATATTATTTTTATAATATTTTATATTTTTATACATTATTATAAAAATAAAATATTAAAAAAAAAAAAATAGGGCTCGTGAAGTCGCTTGTGAGCTCACAAACAATTAAAGAAGCTCGAGCTTGAAAAACTCGAGTTCGAGCTTTTCTCAAACCTGTTTATCTCGCTCACGAGTCGGCACAGCTCGTTTACCATCCCTAGAAGTGAATATAGATACTTTATTCGACCATATCAACTTTTGAGTAAAACAAATGGGCTAAGTTTAGTTCATATTGATTCCACATTGCACCCACACTCTCAAAACACTATATATCATGCATAATGCACAGTGAATATTTGGATTTTCAAATAATCTAATAATAGTATTCTTTGAGAGAGAAAAATATAAAATATCAGCTCTTCAAGCCAATTTCGAAGCTACTAAGTGAAAAAGTAAATATGTATCTCGCCAAAATATTTAAAATTTATATTTTCTTGTGATTTTTTTTTAAAGAATTTTATTTACCAAATTTATTCGATAGATACATCTTTTAAATGAGTTATTAAAATAAATTGATAAGGATTTTTGTTTATTAGAAACTATATAATTTTTAAATAATTTTGTGTGGAAATGGTTGGGTGAAAAAAATTAAAATTTTAATTTCTGCTTATTCCATGAAGAGAATCACTATACAAATACACCAATTGTCTTTTAAAAGATCAATATGTTGTAATTATTAATTAATTAGGATACTTTATTTTCAATTTTCAAAATATATCGGGTAATTTTGTGAGAATATCTCATGTTTTTTTATTTTTGGTGAGAAAATATTTTTCAAGCAATTCGATGAAATATTATTTTCTTTTTGCACTTTATATGATGAATTAAGTTAGACAGTGGAAGAAAATAATAATTTAATTTGATATTGCACTCTAAAACATAAATACCACTGAAAACAAAGTTGTCCTCATTGGGTAAAAAAACAATTTTGGGTGCATTGCGAATAATTTATTGTGTTTCGATGGTGTAAAATGCTAATAAAAATTTTAAGGGTGCAAAGTGCAAATAGTCTATATTCCTGGGGTTCAAAGTGAGATTCAGCCATCTTATTCCAACAATTATTATAAGAGCACTTTATAAATAAGTACATTAATGGGTACTTATTCATAAAGGGGTCCAAACAAAAAACTCTTTTACAAAAAAGTCCACACATTGTTCAGAGGTTTGTAACAGACTAAAATAGCCCCTCAGATTTTAATTTGCTCCAATTTCATCCTTTAATTTAATTTAACATCAAATTAACCCCAAATTTCACAAATTATTCAATTTTGACCCAAAACACAATTTTGAGTACAATTTCGTCCGCCGCCGCCGTTGACTTTTTTATTTTTCTTTCTTCGTGGTTTTTCCGCCGGTCTTCAACGTTAACTTTTTCAAAATAAAAATTCAATTTTTTTTCTCTTCCTGATTTTTTCGCTGCCGGACTCCAGAATTGACTTTTTCGATTTTTTTTTCTTACCCCCCCCCCCCCCCCCCGTTTAAATAGCAATATATCTGTGGTTGACAGTAATATATACTATATTACCTGTTAAACACAGTAAAATTAATTATAGTACAGTTTAACACGTTAATATTGCTATATTAATCTCTAGCATAGTTATATTAACATAACAAAAGTCATTATTATTGTGTAATAGAATAATATTAATATGTTGATCGTTCAACAAAGGTAAACATAATAAAAAGTCAAAAGAATTAATATTATTGTGGTTGACAGTAATATTACCGTCAACCACAGTAATATTATTGTGTTTACAGTAGTATTACAATAGTAGACAGTAATATCATTACGTTACTCCGTCAACAACTCAAACAAAACAAAAAACCCAAAAAAATAATAATATTGATGTGGTTGAGAGTAATATTATTGTGTGTATAGTTATTTTACTGTCAACGACATTAATTTAATTACGTTGACTTGTCAACAAATCAAACAAAATGAAAAAAAAGAGCTAAAAAAATAGTAATTTGTCGTAGACTCTAATTGTACTGTCAACGACAGTACAGTTACATAAATGTACTGTCAACGACAGTATAATTACGTTAATGTACTGTCAACGACAGTATAATTACGTTAATATACTATCAATTATAATGACAGTACAATTACGATCAACAATTAGTGGCGGGTGTAAAAAAACAAAAAAAAAATCACTAGAATTGGGTGTAAAGGGTTGGGGTAATTTTGTCATATACATTAATTTTTCCTTTATTTGTAATACATATTTAAGGGATGGGTTTATTGGCGAAAGGGATGTAGCCTCTGAACTTAGAATACTAAAGATGGTTAGTCAGGGACTTACGTACAAAAACCACTTATTATAAACTAATCTAGGACTGCAAATCAAATCAAAATGCTCGATACTCGATTCAAAATTGTTCATTAAAAGCTTGTTTGAGCTCAGTTGTTAACATAATTAACTAACCAAACTTGAATCACATTTTTTTCTTCTTCTTTTTTTGTCGAAAAGCTATGAAGCTCAGTTTGAGTTCGAACTAGGTTATAAGAAATAGTAAAATATGTACAACAAATAATCTACTTGAGGTCGATTCATATCGACTCGATAAATGTTCATTCTAGTTCGACTCAGTTGCTTATCAAATCAAGCTCGGCTCTCGACTCGATTCGTT